ATCTACTGCTCTTCGTTCGTTCTATTGGTTCCATGCCGAACTTGGGGTTGCCTTTGACCCCAGTTCGAATTCCCATAACTTGGGTTGTTCTACGAATTTTCATTTCTGTCCGCCCACATGCTAAGCCATAGGAGAGATGGGCGACAGACCCAAGGTCTCGCCTCTTTGATAACTTAATTGTGTCTTGTGAAAGCTTTCAACCTAGAACACAGCCCACCTTATATAATGTCAATGACCGTTTATACGTACTGGTGTGTCTCTGGGTGTGAACGTTTGTACATGGCTACCTCAGAATTACAAAGTTCTATCTGACATTTTTGGTCGTTTCGAGTTACTAGATCCATAGGATCAAAAACAAACCAAAAGTTATATCTGCGATGTCAAAATGGTAAGATTATTCAGAGTCGTTATCAAGATATTGAAAGGACTGCATTCGAAAAAGTTTGACCTGGTGTGATACTCAAAATCGTGTTCATAGCACTTTTAAATTCTGAAGTAGCGAAATGTCTCTGGCTGTGACCGTTTGTACAGATATTTGTCTTTGACCGTTTAAACGGACTGGTGTCTGTCCTGGTGACCATTTTTACAGAAAGATGTCTGTCGTGGTGACCGTTTGTACTGACAGGTCGCTATCCTAGAATACAAAGTTATATCTGCTCAGTACCTAGTTTTGTGAAATTTCCCGTCAAAATATTTCAGTTTCTTAACATGTCAAGCTTTTTTTAATGCAATTCTTTGGATATCTTGATAACGTCTCCGAATTATCTAGCGATTTTGAAAGAGCAGAGAGAACTGTTGTTTTCTGACCTCATGGTCGTGGAAACTCAAAACAGTCAAAACGTCAGATAGAACTGTGTGACCGAGTTCGTTTCCCGAATGGGGAGAATTCTTATCGAGCATTGCGGTCTTTCTCCTAGGATGTTGTATCCCTCTCAGCCCGGGCTGGCCCTGACAGGCGGGGTCGGAAACCCGCCATCGTTTACACAGCTGAGATAATTTAGGGGGCGTAAAACACCTACATAAGACAGATACTGCCTATACTCCCTTTGACTAGAAACACTTGTGGCTTTGGGATCTGCCACTCTTACAGTGTCTCAAGGTACACCGTTAGCTCTGTAGGTACCACGCAATACTGTGAGAGGTTGACCATTGTTCAGAACATGGGTTGTTTTGGGGAGTTTTAAAGACTTTCCACCCTTTTGATTCGGTCACATCGGACATAGGCATTAATTACGGAAGTCCCGCCTCGTGATAAAGCTTACAGCTTTTCTGCTCTCTTAACATGTTCTGTCATCTGCTTTCATCTCCACTTTCTCTGGGCTCCTGACTCTTTCTACTGCTACTCTTGGCTTTTTCTTACTGCTGTCATTCAGCCACACCCCTGATCTTAGGGTAGGTAAGATGGAACACCTAGCCTTCTCGGATAAGGGCGAAACAATTCTAGGAGGTCCCATGTGTAAGTTGCGCACGTCAAAAATCCCTTAGTGGTCCTAAAATCTATAAGAGTAGACTTCGGCCGCCCCCGGACAAAATTCAAAATTAATCCCTACCAAACAGAAAATACTTAATGTGTCCCGCGCGCTCATATGACTTTATGCAGTTGCGAGCGCCGTAAAACACTTACTAAAACAAAAGCACCGCACAATTTCGGCCACGCTAGACGCTGTGGAAAGCGGACGGATGCGAGCGAATGAGACACGCAGCGGTCTTTCAAGGCTATTCCACGGTAACTGATGGGACAGCAAAAATACCTCATTTGTCCTGTCATTTTTTTTCCTCTGGTATCCGTAGGATGTCGAGGGGAGGTGCTGGTTTCGGTCCTGTGCTAGGTGTGTAGCGTTTGTGGTAGATATGTTATGTTGTTCCAGGAAATCTTTTACCCCATCCAGCCAGGTCTTTCTTGGTGTTACCTCTTGCTTTGAAGCCGGATTTTCGGGTGTTGTAAACACTAGACAGCTGTTGTTTCTGGGGCATTATGGTCCAAACCATTGGACTCTTATTGACGCTCTATGAATTGTATTACTGGCGGTATTCCGGTTTGTAGACGTTTGGTTTTGGTTTCGTTTCCGATGCGGTCTTTTCTGGTGACGTTGATGGTTTTGCGAAGACACCTCATTTCGCATGCATTCATTTTTCTTTCTTGCGCCTTGTTTAGAGACCATATATGACACTGGTATGTTAATGTTGGTATGAAGATGCTATTGATGAGCTGAGATTTTACTTGGTAGGGATGTTCTTGTGACTGAGCACGGGTTCTTGTGACTGAGCACGGGTGCTAGCTGGTACGTCACTGCATTTGTCTGCATAGTTCTTGTTTTTATTTGTTTGTCCATACGCCCACATTGTGTGAAGATGTTTCCCAAATATTTGACTTCCTCTACTTGTTGGAGTTGTGTTCCGTCAATAAGGACGTTGAGTTTCCCTGGTTTTTTGCTGACCTTCATAACTTCTGTTTTTAAGATGGAGATTTTCATGTTTATGTGTTTACATACCTCATTTAGTTTTGTGATGTGTTTTTGTAATTCCTCTTCACCTGTATTTAATATACTCTGGTCATCAGTTACCGAAGCTAAACATGTCACAGAATTTGCATGAAGTTATTTATCTTTTTTTAAACTAAATTTAATATGATTCTTAATATGTCTTTCAAATGCTCTGATCATTTAAAGTTGAAATAAATAAATTCATATTGAATTCATATCACTGTAAGAAAGTATGGTCCAAATGTCCCGTCAGTTACCTTGGGATGGCCCTACTGCTAAGGAAGCAAGTAGTTAAAAAAACAACTAAAACCTTTCCGTGCATTAGCTGTGGGGTGGTCTGTACGGGCGCTCTGGACACGAGGCTTAGCATTGACGTATGTGTGTGTGTGTGTGTGTGTGTGTGTGTGTGTGTGTGTGTGTGTGTGCGGACTGTGTGTGTGTGGACTCTGTTGTGTGTGTGTGTGTGAACGTGTGGACTGTGTGTGTGTGTGTGTGTGTGTGTGTGTGTGTGTGTGTGTGTGTGTGTGTTCCTTCTTCTGCTTGCGCGTGTGAGAAAGAGTGGACCGGTACAATGGGCGCAAAAGGCAGAGAGCTTTGCACCCCCCCCCCCACACACACATTCCATCAACCCTAGTCTCCCCCCCCCCCCCCCCCCGAAAAAAATGGGTGTATTCTTTTGTTGTCTCGACGGATTCGTTTATTATTGCCAAGTGAACTGTACTTTGGAAAACATTCTTTCATAGTACAATAGCTTTCCAGTGTTTGCTTGCAATAGAAAATTGTCTGAACTAATGGCAGCTTCGAGATCTTGTTTCATTTTGATTAGGTGATTGTTACCCTATCTGTTGTTGTTGATGTAACTCATGGCCCTGCAGAACAATAGGTGTTGTTGTTGGAGGGGGGTTTTGGTAGGGGAGGGGTTGTTTTATTTTTTAAATTATTTTTGTTTTGTTTTGTTCTTTAGCCATTAATGTTCCCTGTGGAATTATGGAAAGTATAAATTTTATGAGAAGCTAGAGTGGGCCACTCACTAATACAAGCAATTAGGAAGAGACAAATACAGTTTCAAGGAGATTTTAACAGACAAAGGCCTTGAACATCTTGCTTTCACTGGTAAAATAGAAGGAAAACAAAAGGCAGGGGTAAGCCAAGAACAACTCGCAGAGAAAGCTTGTGTGGGTACCTGATGGGGAAATACAAGGAGAATAGGTGTTCTTTTGTGCATCTAAACAGAGCAATAAGTGGCAAACCATGACTGTTGATGTCTGTTTTAGATCTTGAACCAGTAGATTTAATTAGATCTAATTATGAATCTGGAATTTCTTTTAAAGCACCGGTGACAAATGGCGCGTAAGGAGGAAGATGTTGACCCCAACATTTCACTTCAACATCCTGAACGACTTTCTGTATGTGTTCAACAAGCAGTCAGAGGTGCTCACGAAAAAGCTGGACGTCAAAATGAAGCAAGGCTCATTTAACCTGTTCCAAGATGTTGCGCTGTGTGCTTTGGATATCATTTGTGGTGAGTGCAGCAATTTCTTCATACAGATTTATTTGTTTGATTTGACCTTGAGAATGTAACTTATATTATTTATATAAAAGACACATCTTAGAGTCACCCAAAGGAAGTGTGATGTATGATACATATATATACAAAGATATATATCTACAAAGAAAATCAGGTGGCATCAGTGACGGAACTTTACAATTTTAAGGATTATACACATTTGTCTTCTATACTTTGGTCTTTGCTGTTCTTTTTTTGTCTGTAGAGACTGTTATATATTAATAAGAGATGAGAGGGGAAAAGGAAGGGGTTGGGAGGTGTAAATGAGTCCTTCTTGTGTTGATGGAGGAAAGCTAATGTTGGGAAAATTAATTTTCTGACCTTATTGAGATGAGGTCAGAACAATCTCTCTCTCTCTCTCTCTCTCTCTCTCTCTCTCT